TTGCCAGTGATGACTTACGGAACAGAGATAATAATAATAATAATAATAAACTCTTGATTCATAAATGTACGGTACAATTAAATATAGTTAGGACAGATGGCCGTTGGGGGCTTTCGATATAGGTGAACCTCTGCCGACGATCTGGTCAAGATCCGGGAAGTGGATGCCCAGCGCAACGATCGTCGTGGAGTAAACATGTTTTTGGTACGATGATGATGATGATGTAGATGAAAGTGGTACCTATTACATTATAAAATATTTATATACATATTATCGGATGAAATTTTGTTACACTTTCAAAAAACTGAATGGATTTTATTGAAATAAAAAAATAGTTTAACTCCTACATTATACTAACAAATAGCTAATTTAAAAAGTTATTATGTAAATTGGGTGAAATATAATAAAAATAATTAAGATGAGAAAAATCTTCAATTTTCGAGCGATCTGCGCGTGAGCTACATAAACCGTTACAGTATACTAAAATAATGTACCCGTAAGGTGGGATTTTTCCCAAACAGTTCCAAAAAAAGTCTACGGCAGCATACATTTGTCGTCAGTGTGGACGCAATAACAGCCATAATAATGAACTATAAATATACTAAATAATGACACTCTAAAAATAATGATAACAATTAATTTACTAAATTAATTCTTAACAAAATACGTTATATCATAAGTTTTTGGTATTTATAATAATAATTGTGTGTGTCTGTCTATAATATTTAATAACTAAATGGCTGAAGGAATCTTAATTAAATTCGACATAAAGGCAGACTGTCTCACTGATAGATATAGGCGATCTGTTATCTAAAAAACAGACTAATTTGCGAGTCATAACTAGGGTTAAATAAATATTGAAACTCCTATTCCACGTTACAATCGCTCGTGATTACGTGTTCTATTTAATAAGAAACAAGTTACATTATTTGTTGTACCGTAATCCAAGTTACATTTAGAAGGATTATCTAAATTGTTTTCCCCTTAATAACATTAAACTATATAAATTCCTTAAGTTCGTTAACGCTGTTTCTGAGAATCATTTACATACTTATGTAGTTACAAGAAATATTAGTGTTCAGATTAAACTCTACAATTAATGCTAATGAATAGTAAAGATTTATTTTAACTACTGAATAACCAATCCACCTAACTTCATTTGGGGTACTTAATAAAGACGAAGCTGTCGAGTTTTTTATTAATGCTCCGCTTCCAATAGCCTCGACACAATACTGCATAGTCAATAATCTTCCTCGATAAAAGGCCATTTAATTTTTTTTCAATCCGAACCAGTAATTCCTAAAATATCTTGTATGATATTGATTTACCAGACAAGCTGATGAACCTGACAAGACTGAGCAAGTAGTAAGCATCTATATATAAATAGCACCACAAATACACATCAACTCATCCGCAGCCATTCCAAAAGATTAAGAAGTCATGCCTCCTGCTTTGTAAATTAGTGAATAGCTAGCCTACACAAATATATTGGTCTAATAGTCGTCTTAACCTAGGTAAGAGTAAGATACCCACTTTTCCAATAAAATCAAATTCAAAAACCAATTATTAATGTATGACATTTTAACCGCTTATGAGCATCATATTTGTTGTATTGAAGATTTTGTGCAATCTCTCTCTGGATTATATGTGTATATTCATGTTCCATAGCTCCGAATAATTACTTGTTTTTTTTAGTAAATGTTTAAATGTACGTATATATTTACCGCATTATGTATGCGGTAATACTGCAACAAGTAAATATTAATCTTACCGCATTTGCGACGCGGTTCGTACGTGTGTCGATGTGAATATAAAACTACAGCTGTCTCTATTTATTATTTAAACTTCTTACTTTATTTGTAAACTTAACTTTATAAACATAATATAATTATATAACCAGTTTCCTATATAACTCTATTGAAATTTCGAAAGACCGTATAATAATTTATTACCTATATCAAAATATTAACCGGATAATAATTCATGGGCTATCTATAACACTAAAATAATTTTCAGAATCGGATCAGTAGTACCGGAGATTAGTCCGAACATTCAAACTCACAAACTACTTTATAGTATTAGTGTACACTTTAAATTATATTATAGCCTTACATTACATTAAGAAATCAATTATCTAATTCTCTATTAAGAAAATGAAACTTCTTTCAAGAAAATTAATAATAATAACAATACAATCAGGATTAAATAAAAGCCTATAAATGTAACATAAAAGGAGAAAATATTTGTAATTTCGACTGAGACCGACAGAAAACCATTAGTGCCAATAAACAAAACTCGAAGCTTTTTAAAAACTCCGCCTTTGAAAGTTCGCAGATTCAACGTTCTAACAATATTGAACATTTAACTTGTTAAGTCCTTCTAAATTGTGAAAAACGTTTTTCATCTGTATTGACTGGATGGAATTTATTATTACATTCTTTTCAGTAGTCTCAAAGTGTACACAGGTGCTATTCTATATTATGCAACCTTGGTACTTTCTCCTCTAAACAAGCTGTCGGATAGAATCTAAAAGAAAATTAATGTTCAGAAGTGACGGTAAAATTAGCAAAGTTGCTGACAGTCGCGAGCTCTGTATAGTTATTTATTAAATCTTTCGTCTAAGTCCACTGGCTATATGATCTCGTTATATTAATATTTCACACTTTTTATGTTATACTAGTAAGTCAAAATTACATTTTCTTGTAAACAAACAACCATAACAACACACTGGGTTGCATTTATTACCAGACTCTTTGGAATATTCTTTTTTATATAGTTGGAATGGCAAACAATGACAGCCTACAAAAAGTATAATACTTCTCATGTACTGCCATTCTAAAGGACTAAGATGTTATGTCTCTGTACCCTATAATTACACTGATATATCTCACCACCCAACCGAAATACGGCTTACAAATCAGATGCTTTATCACTAGGAGAAATGGGTGCAACAGAGGTATCCAATTCCTACAAATTCTACCTCGATTAGTGAGAGAAGAGAGAATAGTGACATATGATAATTACTTTACTTAGTGCCTCACATTAAGAATGGTCCATGCGTTCACAGTGAACTTAGACAAGTAGTTAGAGCACTCAAAAACTTTCAACGTATAGAGGTGTGAATTTAACATAAATAGCGTTTCCGTGTCGAGAACTGGTAACTTGTGGAACGTGTCGGCGAATTAATTCAATTTTCAGTCTCTACTTGGTCGTGGCGTGCAAACGATGGGGATGAATATGTATATTTATTTTTACACAACCACCGGAAACTCGCATTTTTATTCATTTATATGGCAAATATTATATAAGGTAACTTGGAAACACGTATATGACTCGTATGTTTTATTTCGGACTATTCTAATGCTGTTGGCCTTTACAGCTTCACCGGACGATAAGGGGCGAGTGCAGATGGTACTCCAAACCAGCGGAAGGACTTATGGAGCGGCTAAAGGCAACTCCCGCCTGACGGATACACCACTAGGGTATGGAACCTCGAATCAGGCCGTCGTAATTTTGATCCCCATTTAAATTGGACGGATCGGAGGGGGGCTCGTATACGAATAAAACCACGTACTTAATATCGTCATGTGATGCGCGTAGTACCTGATATGCATTACTGTTTTGGAGGACTAAGATGTCATGCCTCTGTACCCTGTAAATTCTCTGACTTATAACATTTTTCAGTTAAATATATTACGCATGCTTTCTATCTGCTTGGCAGCAGAAATAGGTAACAGAGTGGTTGTCGTAGACGACTTTGTGCAAAGTCTATATCTGTCAAATACACATATGAGACATGCAGAACATGCTATGGGTGCTAAACAACTTATGCAACTAACTTAAACATTTTTCATATAACTTAATAATAAATATATAAAACTCATGTGGTGTGTAATTAATTAATTAAACATCATGGTGAATAAAACATTTAATGTTCCCACAATTTGCAGGCTACTTTCCAACTACACTATATTTACTAGCTTTTGTACGTTTTGAGTCCTATTGTAACATTTTTACAAAGATATTAAATACTGCAGACCGAATAAACTCATTCCGTTGGGAGTCTAGATTGGATGGAAAATTTAGACTGAGTTAATTATGATTTAGGAGAACAAAATTTAATCCGTTGTTAAAATTAAATTAGAACTTTCAGACTGTGATTATACTGTCCTCATACAGCTATAAATTAGATTATACCATATACATCCCCACATATGAATATGTCGGGTTATAGTGGTCGACACAAAAGGTCGGGAGTTCAAATTTGGTTGACAGAAAAAAAAAATTGTAGTCTCCTAGTAAAGACACATATATTAATATACACCACGATAATTTACTTCTGACTCAACAGTGATAGAAGCGTTGACATAAAAACAAAAGATCGGATAACGTATGGAAAAAGATTGGTATATATGTTATGTATTTATTTACGAAAAAATATATTAAATATTGTCCCCAAAATGGTAAAACCTATATCTATACTAAATCTATATAATAAAAATTTCGTGAAATCCAATGTAAAGTACATATTCTTAAAATGTTGCTGTGTTTTGATCTTGCTGTCAAGTATTTTCCAGTAGAAGTGGTGACAGTATATGTAGAGAAAGACTAAGAAAGAGGGTAGACAGATATGTTTGCACGTAATAATTGTTTACATCCACCGCCATTGACCCGTGATCAAGACTTTGTAATAGCTACGAAATATCAGGAACTCACAAATAGTATTGTTACTCTGAATATCGCGTGAGAAACTTTAAAAATAACTAATGAATTAAAATGTAACATTACTATGTTACTATATGTTATATAAAAATTATCTTCACGTTTTACTGTAGTTTCTCTCAGCTTTAGCAGAAAAGACGCGGTCAAGACCGTCCTTCACATTCACCCTGAAGACTTCCACGAAGTCGAAACAATTATCGTGAATAATAACAAATAAGTAAGTTCATTAAATTCCAGTACATAGTTATTAAAATATTACGTTATATAACAGAACTCACCCGATATCCACGTTCCATTCCATCTGACTGGTACCAGCTCATCAGATAGTATGTCCTGAATCCTCAGCCTGCGTCCCTTCACCCTGGGCCCTTCGTCAGGTGGCGTCAGCAGCACCACAGAGGTGACGATCAAGGCCAGAACGGCAACGATGACCAGCAGTGCTATGAGTATTCCTCGCCAATTGCGCTGGTTCGGACCACCCACTACCAGCTTCTGGAACGATGGGGTCATGGTTAGATTATGATTTATATAAATCCAAAAATTGTGAGGTTCGTAGCCTATTTTATACTCCTATTAATACCCAGAAGGTTGTAAATTTGACTTACATTATTAAACAATCTTTGTGTATCAATTGATATTACTTTCACGTGATGGTAACAAAATAATAGTTCGAAAAGCGCCTGTAGGCATAGGGGTGAAAGGAAAGTACATAAATGATAGGCAGTAATTATCAAGTAGGACTCGTCAATATCCACCGAAATGTCGTTATTATAAATTGTTGATTTCACCACTACGTCGGCAATTGACATGTCTCTAAATCATAGAAAAGGAGTACTAGTGAATGGAACTATTTCCCCATTGCTCGGAAGAAATCTTATCTAATTGTACTCCACGCCGTTTCCCTTTGAAACCATCGTGATTAATTCTGAGTTACATACGCGATGAAGGACTGACTGACCTTCAACCTCATTGTATAATCATCTACAGGGGACCTCATCAATTGTAACGGTATATACATATCTTACTAATATTACAAACGCGAATAAAATTGTGAGTATGGATGGATCTTTGTTTCACTCAAAAACTACTGAACAGATTTTGATGAAACTTTACAGTAATATATGTAGCTTATATATCAGAATAACATATAGGCTAGAAATTTAATGCGGGTGAAAACGCAGGCTGAGTTAGTTTTATTTATTTCAGAAGTTCAAAGTCTATTACGTAATTGAATTCTATGCACTCCCATTAGTGAAAAATATCTGAATGTCGGTCGAAGCTTTTGTGAAGCATTTTTAAACACAACCCTTTCATTGCCGGTGTGCCAAAAAGGCGCGTATTATTGGCCGCGACATGATAAATGGACCGTTATAACCGGCCTGTATCGGAAAAACTCGATAAACGGTGAAATATTTGTATTTAAAATAAACGGAAAATGGAGAGCTGTTTTTATCTTGTTTTTTCCGATCTTTAGTTTATATTTTTAACCAATGAACTTCCAAAAATATGTTCTCAATTCGATTATATTACTTTGTGCATTTACCTATCTTTAGCAATCAATAAAAGATTTTGGTCATTTCTTATGAAGCATTTCGTTGCAATAAATAAGACAGGACTTCTTAGCCACTTTTGCGGTTTCATTTCTTTCATTTTTCATTGAACTCATTCGTACATGTAATTAACAAGATAATTGCGTAGCAGGTTTCGTAATTTTCACCCTTTTAGATACCAAAATTGCACTTGCTCATTCCTTACTCCTTCCTATCCTCGACTACGCTGACTCCTGCTACTTGGATCTCACTGAAGAGCAATTAAATAAACTTGAGCGACTTCACAATTTACGTATTCGCTTCATATTTGGCCTGCGCATATATGACCTCATTTCCCAGTATCGTACTCAACTCAAGTGGCTCTTTTACAGCATTCTTTTTAACCCAGTCACTCCTTATTACCTAAACGACTGTTTTACATTTCTCAGTGCGAACAATAACCAGTCCTCGCGTAGTGTTAACTATGTCCGTCTTAGATTTCCCTCTTATTCCACTTCCTTCTATTCTATATCCTTTTCCGTCCAGGCCGTTAGGTTGTGGAACTCACTCCCCTCTTGCATTCGGTGCATTCAATCACTTGCCAACTTCAAAGCCTCTGTCAAATCCCATTATTATTCTTTTAAGTAATGGTCCCTTCTTCCTTCATTCTTTCCAAATGTGTGCACGTATATTTATAAGAATGATTATAATAGAATATTAAGTATATGAAAGTGTATGTATATGGATATATATATTAAGATGTATATTTTAGTCATATACGTATATTTATTTTTGATTACTACGTGCGCCACTTACCCTTATTTTATTTTTATTTCTCTCTCTATTCACTCAAAGGTAGTCTGGAATATATAGTATATAGTATATTTTCTATATTAATTGATTTTTTGTTCCGTAATTGGTCCAATAAATAAATAAAAATAAATTGCGGAGTTTTTGTGAAAATTTTGAGGACTGTATTTTGGAAATACCATAAAAACCATTTTATGGTATTTCCAAAATACAGTATAGATACAGGGTATTTAATTACGAAATAAATACAAGATATCTATTGGTTGCCAGATTATAGTAATAAAATTGGGATCATAATTCACCAAACGGTATATGAGCCGCTGGAAAGCCATTTTCCGCAGAAATGGCACCATTATGCGACGTTAGCGTTGGGACAGTTTGTAACAAAAGTGGCCATGTACATACTACACGAAATTCGTACTCTATTGTAACGGAGTAGAGTTCACGATTGCACAAAAAGTATATGAGTGACGTTATAGAGATAAGAGTGTTGCTTGTAGGTGCTAATTCAACCCTGTCCAAACTATAGATACCTAAGCAATTTAGCGTTATATTATTTTTTTCAAGTTGACCCTAAACACTATCCCTCGTCAAGTAATTTGTTCAAATATATGAAAGTGATTTTTACTGCAACCGTCTGATTTTAACAGTAATCCTCTTCTATGTACATCAATATCACCGCATAACTGTATGATGTCAGCATCACCGTATAATAAGATGCTTGTGACGTGATATGGTGATGATGCTATGGGATAATTAAGATCTCATGCCTCCATATTTTGTCATTTCCATGCAATATCTCACGCACAACAAAGCTATAATAGTTTAGCGGCTAAAATATGTGAGAATAAAGTACTTATGTAGAAGACATATTACAAAGCTCACCTCGGTGAGTACGTACTCATATATTTAGCCGCTTTGACAATACGGAAGAAAAATATCCAATCTGTTAACATGAAATGTTACCATCTGCATACCTGTTCACCCACCCACACCTACTTAGAAACGTTGGCAGAAACTTTTGCATTTTCACATCGGGCGAGCGCTCCGGGCTTATAACTAGTCGCGTAGTACTTAAAAGTTGGAGCCATATATTTTCTTTTAATTTCGTTCCAAGACAATTATGGTCTCAATTTTAAGAATGTATTTATATATTGCAGAATGAATAAAATTATTATAAAATGACATTTCATTTTAAAACGCTATTAGCCTTTTAAAATCCTGATAGCGCATGAATGTTTTAGAATGGGATAACAAATAAAAATGTTGATGAAACATAGATGTAATAATGTAATTAGAAAAAAATCTGTTAGTATGCAAGAATATCTATATAGGAAGAGTAAGTTGAGACATAATGACGCTGATAGACGAATTAATGAATAAGACATACTCCTTTGGACCCCAAATAATGAGATAAAGGTAAGTAAGTATTTAGTGTATTATTATATTTTAAGAAATTTTGAGCGACAACATAATGACAATTATAATGTTCTCGCAGATACCAGGAACTCATGAGGTCTGGGCAGTACGATGATTTAAAAACTACTGCGAATTGCTTAAAGGACTCTCAATATTCAACATAATGTTCTTGTAGATATCAGGATCTCATATTGATTTAACATCTCGTTTAGATCCCATAAATCTTCTGACGACAAGATTAGCATGATAATCCATTAGTTAGAGGGCCTTAACTTGCAAAAAGTTGACAACAATGTATGCAAAACGAATTTGGTGTATAGCGAATATTTATCTAGTATTTTAATTATAAAACAAAACTATGTGATTCATAAATCAAGAATTTACAAGAATTTGAAAATATAAATTATATTAACGGGCTTGAAAAAAATTACGTAAAGTAGTTAAAAGTAATTAAAAAAAACATATTATTTTATTGATTATCCTTTCCAAACGGTTGCTATGGAACAAAAATGATGTTCAATACATTAGCTATAGATCATAGACGTATTACCACAAACATTTTAGTGCCGATCTGTTATATCAAATAAAAATAAGACAACTAATGTTATTTATATTAAATTCATCAATTTTTGCCGAATATCTATATCTATCATCCGCAAAAGAATGACATCGAATATAAAATGTAGTAATGTGAACCGAGAAAATGTATATTAAAAGAATTAACCGATAGATAGACTGTACTAAATCATCTGCGTGACTCTCTCGGGTACTTCAGCTACCGAACAGCTTGTTTTGTAAGCTGCATATCGGTTGAAGGGTGAGATTAGATAGCGAAATTATAGAATACGGGCAAAACATCTTAATCCTATGGTATGGCAATGCCTGAGTGGTATCACTGGCGTCACATGATAACGTGAAGTCTGTGGTGCTGTTCATATATATATAGGCGACGGTTACTTTTTACCATGAGGCGGCCGTCAGCTTGTTTACCATTTTAAAGAAAAAAATATGGACTTAGAAGTTATCTTGATGTAGTATAATATAGCTGCACTTATATAACTTAAGATAAACAAAATTGAACGCGAATAAAAAGAATATGGTACGTGTCTAAATATATAGGGCCTTGTTTGGTCAGCATCCCTACTCAAGGGATTTAAGGGATGTCCGAGATAAAAAAACATGCCTAAACACAGTCACGGATGTGTAATAACGATCTCCTCTGTCACGAAATGATTAATTGTATTTTGAAAGTTATGTTCCTTTATGTATTCTTTTCTATAGTAATATTATAAAAGGATAAAATTTGTAGGGAGTGTAAGTTTTACGGGGTAATCTCTAGATCTACTGAATCGATTTTGAAAATTCTGTTACCAATACAAAGCCAAGTTACTTATGAGTATCAAGGGCTGTATATTAATCTGAAAAATAGAAGTTGGATTTGCAAAGTAAAGCAGAGGAAAAACACCTTCATTTGATCGCAATATAATTAAGTGAAACGACAGTTTGCTAATAAGTTATAATATGCAACATAACAAATAAATATTAAGTCTGTCTAAAGGTGAGTATTCCTTCATCATAGTCAGCAACATAACCTGTATCACGCTACGTATCCGAGAGCTGGCCTACTTTATGCATCCTCTTTTTAGACCCTCGGGCCCTCTCGTATGAGGCTATTTATTTATAACTGTATATTTATAGACTTCAGTCCAGCACCCTAAAGGGATTTACAGGATGCGATATTTATAATATCTT